TGAAAGGTTTTTATGATATTTTGTTACGTGATTCAAATGAAAGGTAAATATCACTGTAACTATGAAACGTGAGAATGTGAGAGTAAGCAAGGCTTAGTTGATGTCTGCTTTACACAGACAAAGCATGTGTTAGAGGGGAAAGGCTCAAGTTTTAGAAAATATATGTTTTCTTTTTCTAAAAAATGATGCAAAGCTTATACTCAGCAAGCCCCAGATCAACCGCACGAACAAATATCGGTTAATCCTTTCATCAATTGTATTTACTCAAGTAGTGGTAGTAGTACATCTTATCATTGCTTATACATGATAAAACATTTCTAAATATCAATCTTTTTAAAGCAAAATAAATAGATGGTCATTTGCCATGCGGCTAATATGGTAATTATATAAGAGATGGTCTATAGGAAAATTGGCACATAAAGCGAAGGAAGTTTTTATCTTAAAACAAATGAGTGTTAAAATAACTGTAAGCAAAGGAAGATACATATTTTCCTTCTAGTGAAATATATATCAAAATATTTTTAAAACAGAGCACGAATAACAACATCGGATCACGATTACATTATATATAAAAAGATATATAAGATGAATTAATAAGGTAATAAAAGGATGTACCTAAACATTTCACATCTATTGCATTTTTTATTTACAACGTTTAAAACGACGTCTGTGTAAAATATATTACAGGTTTGGCGCAATATCTTTTTGATACTTACAATTTTTTTATTTATTTTTTTTGGGGAGGGGGGGAAGGTAGCATATTTATCGAAATCTTGCATTTCAGAGAACAATTCATCATGCTCGTTTGCTCTTGAGTACAAATCATCACAAACCCTACTGTTTAACAAAACATGTAATTCATTTTCAACTGAATTATCTTTACAAAATGGACACATTCTTCTACCATCAAGTATGAACAAATGTATTGTAACAAAAATAAACATAAAAATAACTATATTTGATATAAACGAAAGCGTGTTGGAAGCACAAAGAATGGAGGCTCATTTATCTTAAACATAATCAATACCAAACTATTTCTGACGCTAATACCATTTCCTGTTCAGATTGTCGATCAACATTCTTAATGAATAACCTTTTAAAGCCTTAATTATATAGATGAATACGAGTCAGAACCTCTGACTACATTACATTCATAGAATCTAATCGTTAGTTTGTCTGATGTTTGCTGCAAAGTTTGACTATATTGGTCATATGTACGCTGATATATACTGGAAACCAAATAATTAAGTCTACTTCTGTATGCTAAGATATTGTGATTTTAGAATTTGGTAGTTCCAACTTTTAAAATTAGGAAGAAATAAAATTATTGAAGATAGGAAAATAAAAATAAAATACGTATATTTCATGCGAACGAAAGCTACAGTACTATTATAATGATATGCTAGCAGGAAAATGAAAGCCAATTATTTGATCTTTAAAGTATTTACTATACAATATTAATTGAGTGAAATAAACAATCTACTCAGGTTAATTTGAATAATTTCCAAGGTTTGTTTTTTAGTGAAAAAATATTTAATGCAAATATGTCTGAGGTTAAAGATATTGTTAATGTCTTGACTGCCGATTAACGTGCAAAGCTTTTTATTTAGTCATACAGTATAACGTTTTTTTCCCCTTAACTTTGCTAGGAAGTGTGACGTTGTTTGTTCATACATCCGCTTATATATTCCTGTCACCACATTTCACTTTCTGAAGGTCTAGTATGATTTATTATTACACGTTATTCAAACAGAGAATTGTCGCAAAACTGTCTAATTCTAAATGATTTAATGAATATTTAAAATATCGCGAGCTTTGTAACTTTAACTACACGCGCAAAATACATTAATTTATTCTTATGTTAAGCCTATTTTACATTTTATTCTATCCCTTATACAATAATATTTTCATATTTATAAGCCATAAATAATATCGCAAAAGCTACATGTTACGAAATATATTTAAGCAAGCATATGGCCAAAAACACTTAAAACGAAAACAAAAATACTTCCATATATATAACTGAAACCTAGATTATACAAATAATGAAATATAAAATAGACTTAAAGATCCTGTAACACAATTTTTTTATGGTTTATGTCATAAATATGATGATCAAATTCAGAGTTATAAATTTTGTAAGTTCCAAAAAGCATTATTTATGAAGATATAACCAAATTTAGCTTTTTATGTAAATTAAGGGAGGTAATAAAAAAATATTTTCTATAAAGTCTAAGTCAAATTTTTCAATAAGAAATGAATGCATATATTTTAATGATTACATATAATAATAATAATAATATATATGTACAAATATATGCAGTACATATTTTACATATTCTTCGATGTTTGAAAATTGTTTTATAATAATAATCATATGATCCAGAATTCTTTGTCCAGGAATTTTAGTTACATCTCAAATAAACATTTTTTTCTCAAAGTTCTATTCTTGTTTTTCATATTTCTTTTGTATCTTTCAAACATGTAACACAATCTTGAAATATATTGCAGTGAATGTGGTTCCTGCATCTTTACCAGGTGTTCCTACGGCACTACTTTGACACAGTATTTGCGGACATTTTTTTACACTATTGTACGGGTTGCTTGTGAGGTTCCTAATACCACAGATCTGATCCGATATTTTACAAAATGTGTGTTTATATTATACTTATTTGTGAATTTACTTTAAAATGACTGTGATTTCGGCGTTTTTGCAACGTTTGAAAATGAAAAAAAAAATAAAATCAAAATATATTTTCTAGACGTAACTGTAGTGTCTTACGCGTTACGTCTTTAAATTGCACTGACAATCATATGCAAACGTTCAGACAGGCTGATAATGCATACACGAATTTGGTGACTGAAACAAACTCTTTTAATTGTATCTTAAATAGTGTGCAATCTTTGAACCAGTAATGTTAATTTTTCAAGACTCCGCTGTGCAAACCGATTCGTGTCTCTCGATGTTACGTTTCGAAATTAACAAGAAGGTGGCCTCAAGTGAACCATATTCGATTAATCTAGAATAATCAAGTGCGCTTTTCGATAACGTATTTCGCAAAACCTGATGGCATAGTACACAATTGTTTATCGCGCGCGCTACATTCACTTCCACTTATTCCGCAGAGGTCGTCCAGCTCGATAAAGATGTTACGTCTCCAAAGTGTAAGTTTTCGGCAAAACCTAATGTTTTATCGATGAAGTACAGGATTTTACATCAGAGAATCCATTATTTATACCGACCACGCACTTGTATACTCCCGAAATGCGTCAAAAGTGAGTACATAAAGTATAAACGAGTGCCATCTCAAAATGGAATGCGTCTTTGTTACGTCTCTGCCACTAGTTCATAGATCCTTTCACTGTGGGTTTAATTAACATTGTTTTATGATTAAAAGTCATAATTTTGCCAACATACTACAAAAGCAAAATGATGGATTGTTTGTTGTTTTTTCCCACATTTTAAAGGCTGTTTTGGAAGGGTGCAGTTCAGAACTCTTGCATAAATATGTGTTCTTTGTTACATCTGTAATTAGTAATTTGGCAGTTACTCCTTATTCATTTAGTGCAGATACTCAAATTATGACGCTAGAAATACCTTTCTTGTAAAAAAATCCAGTAATCATGAAAGTATTTAATCTGGAAGTGCCCACACTTTTACTTGTTTGTGGTAAGGTGCCAAGTCATAACTTGATTACGAATTGTGGTGTCTTTGTTACTCTTTTGTAGTGATTTTGGTGTCCAAGTTACATCCCTTTTCTCACTTATAGTTTTTTGTTATTTTAAATGAAACCGAGTCACAAACATGCATGATCATTACCATGGCAGGGGAACAAATGTCAACTTTTATTACCCTTGGTGAAATAAAATAAAAAAAATCCAGACATTTTATTTTATATTGATCCGGATGTAACAAGACACCAAATATGGTGTCCAAGTTACTACAATATGATTTAACTGGCGTCCTTGTTACATGGTATAAGAATGTTAATTTATATTCCGTATGCGGATGAAAAATTTAAAGGATATATCACATTATTTTGCAGTCCAAAGTGAATGTTTTAAAATAGGCCCATGGATTACCCCACTGCTTATGTAAAATTAAGTGTATATCATTATTATTTCTCAGATGTAACATTGACATCACTTTTTGTGTCTTTGTTACTGACAAATAATATAAATGGAGTCAATGTTACATCTTATACCACAAAATACATGTTACATTGTTTTGTCAAATCATTGCTCTTTTTCATGTTGGAAATAGATGAAATATAAAATTATGGTTGAAAAAAATAACAAACAATCGCATTGTTGCTAGTTTCCAATTGTGAAAATTGTATAAGTCTCTGAGATGTAACATGGACAGCAAAACAGGTGTCTTTGTTGCAGACATCCATCATAATCGGTATCTCGTTATATCTGTGCACAATCTTCTGCATTTGAAATCTTCATAAAGAAAATAATTATACTGTTGTTTGATTGAAAAGAATCATAGTTTGAATTATGTAAAAAATCAATTTATAACAAAATAACAGAAAGTAAATTTTCTCAGAAGATAATTGCTGTGAGGAAGTAACATTGACACCACATTGAATTTATTACTGTGGAGACTGGATTCTGATGAAAAAGGTGACATCTATGCGAATGTTGGCATGACAGTTTAAATAAATGTTCTTTTGTATCTAACTAATTTTGAATTTTATTAAAAAGAATAAATTGGAAACCTTAAACTTTTTCCCCCGTAAGGAAAGAATGAACAATCATAAATAATAGATCGCCTTCATGGCCTTTCACCTACCTCGGTCGAAAAACTTGGCAAATGAAAAAATTATACAGTTGCTTAACGGGGTAGTGTTTTGTTAATTTATATCCCAGTGTGGCTTTGTACCAAAGTCGGAAGTAGGTCCTAGGAAGATAAACTTAAAAGCAAAGAACTTTAATAGAAGAGATCTAGTGTGTATGACACTGTTTTAAAAATGTTATCATAATTTTACTTTCAGATCTAGTCTGATGGAGGTAGAAGTTTTGTAAAAGTAGGAATGGATTCCGATGATAGTCATGATACTCAGCTTCAGGCGTCATGGTATGAATAATGAGTAAACAGCTTTACAAGGCTGTTTCTAGTTCATATATATGCCATCACTGATCAGTCTGATATTTTACACTTGTATAAGCATACATGCACGCACGCACACACACGCACACACACACATATAAGCATACAATTGTACTGAACCCTGGGATGTCAAAATCTGAAAAATAATTACTTGGCCACGGACAACCAAATGTTAAAATGTACTTGTCCGTAAAGAACATTCACTTGGCCGTATAAAAAAGAACAACATGAAATAAAAATAAACAAGGATTAATGCATGTAGACCACACTATGGAATGGTAAATTATTGAGCTTGCTGTTTCTTGCGTGTGTTTGACATGTATTTAATATGTATTGCAGCTAAGTTTTCATGATATTTGGAAGTTGTAATATGATGCAGCCCGCCCAATTTTAGTTGTCCACGGACAAGTCGTAAAGAAAAATTCAGTCATCAGTACCATCAAATTTACGATACAGACAACTCGGACGGTTGATTTCTGCAGCCCTGGAGCCGTAATAACTAGCAACACTGCATAGGGTATTGTATGTATAAGGTAACTCTCAGTGACTTTTTCATTCCAGGTACTCTTTGCGAGTTAAACTGAAGTCTCCATCAGAGGTACCCGTTCCCCTTCCAAAAAAGACGTCAAAAGACTACTATCACGAATACAGACAAAGGCTGAAGAACGATGAAGCAAGGTATGGCGAATACAAGAAGAAAGACTATATAAAAAAAGAAACAATACCGCAAGACGTTATCAGGTCCGCAACGAGAAAAGTACAATGAAAAGGCCAAGTTAAGAATGAGGGCATATAGAGACAGACTTTTGAAAAACCATCCGCCAGGCAGAAAATGACAAAGTTGAGAGAGTATTGGCGGATGAAAAAACGTGAACAGAGAGTGCGTCTGACTTCAGAAGAAAGGCTCAAAAGGAATGCTGAAAGGAGGGAAAAATATAAAATGAAATCAAAAAAGAAACTTTGTTTTGAAGCAGACCATTCCAAATCAAAAAGACAATACCTACCTAAAACTGCTGAAAAGTTTGCAGATACTATTGATCAGGCTGTACATAATGCAACACCAAGAAGAAAAAGGGCTGTAATTGATAAGGGGTTTGTTCTTTCTGCAGAAGAGAAGTCTAAGAGAAAGCTGGAGACCAAAATTGTTATTAGAGTTAAACATGCTCTGCAGAATTTGAAGAAAGAACACACGAAATATGGAAGAAAACAGTATCGGCAGTTTGTTCGCTCACTTGTTGGCAAGTATACAGCAGAGCACTCGATGAGACGCGCTTTAGAACACTGGCAACGCGTGTCAGCTGTGAATGAAAATGAAATATACACTCAGAAAAGGTCAGCTGCTTTTCCAAAACAGATTGTTGACAGCATATAAACCTTTTACCACCATGAATACGTGAGCTTGCCAAACAAGAAAACTGTGAGCAGTAAGACTTTGAAGCAGAAGAAGGTCCTCACGGAAACCATTCAACACATACATAAACGTTTTCTGAATGACAAATGAGCGAAAGTATAAAAAATCTATTTCAAGTACTAAATTAATTATTTATTTTGATATAATTAAAAGCTATATTATAATGATGTCGGGACGAAAAGTATGCTACTTTCACGAATTTAGTCTAACAATAATTCAAGGGAAATGTTTCAGACGCCAATCTTCCTAATGAATGCTTTTAAAGATGAATTCACGTAATAAACTCCAAATATAGCATAATCTTAAGATTGTCTGAACTTTCATAGAATATGTTACGATGTTTGTTCAAACATCCTCTTTATAATTCTGCCTTTCTCTCACTTTCGCACATGAAATCAATTTATACTATGATATCACTCATAATGTCAACTCTTTTAAGCTGGTATTTCCTTATACCTCATAATTTCTTTTTTAAGGTGAGGTTTTAATTAGAACGCTATTTGTGATTAATTCTTCCGAGGGATCACCCTTTATCTAGAGTGTTTTTACATCTTTTTCATAGGGAAATACCTAAACAGTCTCTATGTGAAGGTGTGTTATTGGATTTTCTTAAGAGTTGTCAAATCTTTTAATATATCTTACATTTTCATTCCATTTTGCATAAATTAAGGTAAATTTGTACTTTTAATTTTGCTATATTAAGTGAACATATATAAATGTATTTAATCCCGTGAAGCTAGTACTTAAGATGAGAAAGTATCCGGCATCTTTATTTACTTAGGTAAGTATGACTTTTTAGATTGAATGCCAGAATTAGTTTATATTGTATATGCATATACATGTATTTCCTTAACGCAAAATAAACAGCAAAGAATATGTTACGTACGTGTTATCTTCATGTTTTATAATAATAACTTTATATAGACTTTTTTTATCAATTGATAATAAATATTTTTGACACGCAATTAACACTGTTTATGATTTTCCAAGCAATTTCCATTTGTACCAATACAATGGAAAAAACAACAGTCATTGTTGCAACCAAGTAAGCAAATCAAACATTTTAATTGAAAGTACATTTACATGCAATAATTAACTATCATAGCTATGATTCCAACAAATTTTAACTTAAAAAAAAGACAATTATTTTAATATTAACATAATAAAAAAGTACAAAAGCACAATTGTTCACTATTTATTCAAATAATGTTGATATCATTATATATAATCAATTCACATCTCCTACACACACTATCCAGTTTCTTCAATTTATCACTACAATTACAAGAGGAAATCGAGGGTTCCGTTTTTCCTTTTTGTTTCATATTCACGTTTACTTTAATTCACTCAAAATCAGCCATGAAAATAAAAACAAAGTAAAAGAAGACATATATAAATCAATGAGATAAACATTTGGCCAACGATTAATCAATATTAATCATTTGGAATGGCTTGATCATCATTATGAGTTTTTATAACGTTTAAATAATGAGTTTAGGGTATGTTAGATGCTTATCAGCAATGATAGTAAAATTATTTATGATTTTCAAAGTTGCAAAATGAATGTAAACAAAGTAATATATTGACTTGCATACGAAATACTTAACTACTATTACTGTATCACTTGCCAAAAATCAAAAATCTTTTTTGAAACTATAATCAGGTACAAAAAAAGCTTTTGAGAAATTAAAGATAAATATTTTTTGGGCCATAATGGACCTTTAAAAAGAAAGATAAACTAAAAAGATTTAAAATTATTTATCATTTAATGATAAACCTGTCCGTGCTCTGTCTTTGCCCTGTCCTGTTTTTGTTTGGGGTCCGCCTGGGCTCCTTGCCGTTGGTTCTTGTTGCTGGGTCGTGTGGGGGTTGCGTTCATTGACCGCCGCATTTCCTCGTTGATCTTTTTTATCATATCTTACTTATGAATCTCATTGCTTTCATCGTCAGTTAATTATGTCATCAAATAAAATACCAAATAGCCAATAGAATAGAAACATGTTCTAGCAGAAATAAACACTAACTGTGCAATTCTCTTATGTTTGTCAACCCCATTGCCTCTAGTTTTTATTTCTTTGATTACCCCCCCCCCTTCCCCCGGTCTCCTGTCCCCTTTCCCTTTGTGGGCCTATTATTAATTTCTTTGAATTCCTAATCAGTTACAAATTATTTATCATTTAAGGATTAACCTGTCCGTGCTCTGTCTTTGCCCTGTCCTGTTTTTGTTTTGGGTCCGCCTGGGCTCCTTGCCATTGGTTCTTGTTGCTGGGTCATGTGGGGGTTGCGTTCATTGAACGCCGCCTTTCCTTGTTGATCTTGTTTATCATATTTTCTTTAGGGATTCTGTATTTATCTATTTTATGATCACATCCGTGTTATTTGTGCCGTGTGGCGGCTGTAAAAAGTCTCCCCGTACATTTAATCAATGATGTTATATTTTCGATCCTTGAAGATCGTTCAGCACGACATTATTGTTGTGCTTGTGGTATTTTTAGTTTCAACTTTTCGGCATTTTCTAGTTGGGTGGTTCCAATATTCCTACTTGAATAATGTTGAATCACCCTTAGGATATGTTGCCTGCTTTTTAAATTTGTCTTTTGACGTCTTATCTGTGATACGCAGGCTTCATAACCTCTGATCCCCTTTCAAAATTCCATTTTATTTAGTTCCGCCCATTGTTTTCTCGTTTAGGGCACACGCATTTTATTAATTGGGGACCATACGCCGCTTTTCATGGAATGGCACGGAAGTGTCGCATTGAAGGTTCCATGAAAACCGCCGTATGAACACATCTGCGGATGTTTCGAAATTCAAAATTTTACTATTTCACGTTTAAATGTTGAATTCTGCTTAAGCCGGTGCTAGGGGGCGTAGACGGTAACTTGCACATTCCAGTACTGTCCATGAACAGGCTCAATCAAACCGAGCCTGCAACATTTTCAATATTGCCGTGTTGGGCTTTCTTTAGGGATTCTGTATTTATCTATTTTGTCATGACGCGGCTCATATTACGCAAAAACGTTTAATTCTGTCGAATTGTAAATAGCTGAGTGACATGGAAGAAACCAAAATAGATGTAAGGATCAATATATTGGGGTAAAAATGTAATTTTCTTAAAATACAAAGCAACCTAAATGATTATCACCTTTATTTGGTCTTCAAAAATGTATACAATTTGATCAAAGAAATACATTCTGCAAAAACAGAAATAGAGAAGAACAGAATCCCTAAAAAACAGCCCAACACGGCAAGATTGAACCTGTTCATGGACGGTATTGGAAAGTGCACGTTACCGTCTACGCCGCCTAGCACCGGCTTAAGCAGAATTCAACATTTAAAAACAAAAATGGTGTAATTTTTGAATTTAGAAACTTCCGCAGATGTGTTCATACGGCGGTTATCATGGAACCTTTAATGTGACACAGCATTGTCATTCCATGAATAGCAGCGTATAGTCCCCAAGTAAAAGAATGCGTGTGCCAAGTATTTCAATATTGAAATAAGTTCAAAATAGGATCGGTGCTAGGGGGCGTGGATGGTAGTTTGCACTTGACAGTACCGTCCATGAGCAGGCTCAGTCAAACCGAGCTTGCAACATTTTCGATTTTGCCGTGTTGAGCTTTCTTAAGGGATTCTTATTTTCTCTATTTTACATAAAAATAAAACAGATTGTTTGAAACCAAATATCATGGTAAGAGAAAATGTGTAAAGTTCTCGACTTCTTATTACAATATATATCTGACACTAACGATGTCGTGTATGGATTATCAATCAGCAACTCAAGCCCCTGCTCTGTCTTTGCCCTGTCCTGTTTTGTCTGGGGTCCGCATGGGCTCCTTGCCACTGGTTCTTGTTGCTGGGTCATATGGGGGTTGCGTTAATTGAACGCCGCCTTTCCTTGTTGATCTTGTTTATCATATTCTAATGAATTGCGACCTTTACTACACCTAACTTTCCAGATCTGCACGTCGAACCTGCTGTCAATTATTCTAAAGATTAAACTATATGCGTTAGGTTGTCTTAAGAGTTGTCAATATATCGTCACATTGTTTGTAAAACTACGACAGTAATAGTTTGAACTAAATCAAATGGATAATATGCAACTGAAATAGTTTAAATTACTGTAGAGTCACCGGACCAGTGCTCGACCAATTTACCACGGAGTTTTACACAAGGTATAAAAACCAATATATTGTTCAGGCAACCTTTCTTGTGCTCGACCAGGTATTTTCCCTCTATCAGAATTTTAATTTTCAGGAAAAAATATGTTATTTTTCATGTATAAGCATTCTTTTTTAAAAATATCTTGAAATATTTTTGATTAAATTAATATATATGAAGATATGAGTGAAAGAAAATGATATACCTTATCAAATGGAGTCTTCATTGTAGATGTGGAAGTTATAAGAGTTAATGGGTAGGCTGCAATTACTTCTTTTCATTTTTTTTATATAAAACAAAATTGTAAACATGGTAAAATAATTATCAATAAACATTAAAACATTTAAATTAATTGTTAACTTATTAACAGTAACTGGCAAACACAATGATCATCTGTCAGTTTATTCTTCCAAGTAACAATGTCCACAATGCCACTTGGCTCCAGTAAGAAGGCTCAAAATATGATAAACAAGGAAAGGCGGCGTTCAATGAACGCAACCAAGTTCAAGTCAACATATGTTTGCACACTAGTTGGTAGACATTCATAGTGGTACCAGTATTCTCAATAATCACATTCTACCTAGAAGAAACCTTCCCTGGCTCCAAATATACACACTTGACGCAGAATTGATTGGTCATCATGTACTAGTTCAACTTCAGATGTTTCAGTTGCCACAAGACTTTTACGAGCTACTTTAGCACTGCTCAATTTCTTATCACTTCTGGTAGAAAGTATTGTTCTTGCAGTTCTGTAAAAATTAATCAATGATGCTTGAAGATCGTTCAGCACGACATTATTGTTGTGTATACATTTTAGATGGTATTTCAAATTCTTATATTTGGCCTTTTTCAACTTGGATGGTTCCAGTATTCCTACTTGAATACTGTATAATCACCCTTCTGATATGTTGCCTGCTTTTTAAATTCTTCATAACCTCAGATCCCCTTTCGAAATTCCATTTTATTTAGATCCACCCGTTGTTTCTCGTTTAGGGCACACGCATTCTTTTACTTGGGGACCATACGCCCCTTTTCATGGAATTACACTACTGTGTCACATTGAAGATTCTATGATAACCATACGCCCCTTTTCATGGAATTACACTACTGTGTCACATTGAAGATTCTATGATAACCACCGTATGAACACATCTGCGGAT